CCCCAAACGCCCTACAGGGACCTTGCAACCCGCCCCCATGTCATGGGACGACCTTGCAGCTCAACTGGAACCTCATTCTCCCCTACCTTGAGCTTCTGGGGATGCTCTTGGCTGAGGCTGAGGGTCATGTTGTAGACCTCCAAGGTGACCTCCTTGGTGTAGGAGACCACACGGCTGCCCCGGTTGTTGTTCTCCACGGTGACGTTGAAGGGGACGAGGGTAGGGTCGTCGGAGCAGAGGGCAGCCAGCTGGTAGACGCAGGTGCCCATGAAATCGAAGCGGCGCCCGTCGAAGGTGGTGTAATGGGGGGCGCCGGTGGCCACGCAGATGGAGTGGCTCTTGGCCACGCCCCGCCGCACGCCCTTCACCACGGCGCACTTCTCGCCCGACTTGCAACCGGCTTCCTTGCACACCACCATGCCCAAATCGGCGTCGCACCGGCACCGCGATTGGCAGGTCTCATCGGCCCAAAACTCCTCGCCAGGACGGTAGTAGTGACCGTCGTGGGTGCAGCCGCAGCTGGCCACCGCCACGCACTGGCCGCCGCTGAGGACGTGTCCCTCGTTGCAGGCGCAGGTCTCCACGCAGGGCTGGGTGCAGGAGGCGGGCGCATCCCTGTTGTTGCACGCGGCTGGCACGTGGCTGGGCAGGCGTTGCCACAGGCCTCGTAGTGGCTGTTTTCGGGGCAGGGTAACGCTGCGGGGAGGAAATGGCGTGATTAGAGGGGGAGGATGCAGCAGCTTCGCGTGGGTATTGCAGAGAGTTCGTGGGACGAGGGCTTTGCAGGCAACTCCCCGGGGCTGGACATTGCCGTGCGCAAATCACACCGAGTGCTTTGCGTGTGTTGTCTCATTCCCCTTTCTCTGCAAAAAACACCCGGCCCCCCCAATCCCAGGAGGAAACCCGTCGCTTACAGCAGCCCGACGGCGTCCTCCAGTCGTGCACGAGGGCGCCGTGCTTCTTGCAGGTGGAGGAATAAGCCTCCAGCACCTGGCAGAGGATCTTCTTCGCCCCGGCGCTTAAGCACACGTCGTAGAGGCAGTTGCGGTAGAAATCCTGGGGCTTGGCGACG